GTGAGACCAGGATATATTTTTCCCATGTCTTTTACGAATACGTAATTCCCTCAACCAGGTTCAAGCCTTGTAAGAAATGAAGATGTGACTTTTCAGTTTGTATGTATCCGCTCATGTATGTCCGATACCGCCCTCGCCTCACCGGCCAGCGTTCAGACCCGCGGCCCCCGGACACTGCGCCTGCGCGCACTTGCCGGAGTGTTTGAAGGTTTCAGCGCTGCGGCCTCGGGCACCCCCAGGCACTCCCCAGCGCGCCCCCACCCCGCCTTCTCTATCTTCCCAGACTTTGGGTACCCTGCCTCAGGGCCTCGGGGACGGGGTTCCTGGGACCGGCTGTGAAGCCAGGCAGGAGTACCTACTGAATGCGGGACCCTTGGCAAATCTCATTCTCTCCCCACCACCCAGGAGATGCGGGTGTCATTCCCATTTTACAGAAAAGAAAACTGATTCTAAGAAGTGAAATATCATGCTCAAGATCACAAAGCTAGCGCCTGGCTGGTGTGGCTCAGGAAGGTCACAGTTTGATTCCGATCAGGGCACATGCCCGGGTTGCGGGCTCGATCCCCAATGTGGGTCATACAGGAGGCAGCTGATCAATGATTTTTTTTCCTCTCTCTCCCTCTCCCTTCCTCTCTGAAATCAATAAAATAAGTAAAATAAAATAAAATATCACACAGCTAGGAAAGGCAGAACTACGAATCCAGGGAAAGGCCTGGAGTTGCTCTCCACTCCCTCCTCCTCTCCTCCTGTTCCCTAATGCCTGACAGTGGCTGGCCTGATCTTTCCCCTCCCCAGGCCCCAGGCCATACCTGGCTCTAACTAACCCCACCTCTGTCCTAATTGCCCCGACCCTGAGGGAGACAACCACAATGGGGGGGGGGGGGGGTGTTGGCTGCCAAGGCCCCACCATATGCAGCAGGACATACGGGTTCCATCTCTGGCCTTGCTACAACTTGCTGGGAACCTGCAAGTTGAATGAGAACCTGCCATCTCTATAACCCTCAGTTTCCCCATCTATAAAAGAAGCCTCTGCAGGTCCTTCCAGCTGACCCTGAATTGTGTCTGCCACTGGACATTGGGGGCAGGGCTGGGGCCTCAGCAACCCCTTCCCAGACAGATGCTGGGAAAGCAGCAATTCCTTCCTGAGCTGTGGCCATGTCAATACCAGCTGCTCTGGACCCTGCAGGGGCAGGGCTGCCCACCAGCTCAGTGCCCAACCTCTCCTCAGCCGGAAGGAGCTGCTGGCAGCTGCCACCACCCTCCATCTCCAGAACCACGGCCCCTGGAAGGAAGGCACTACGCCTTCCTTTCCCCCTGACCTGGCCCTGGGTCAGGTTGGAGCCCGGGGAGCCAGTGGGAACTCCAGAGATGTGTGTTCCAGACATGGTGTAGCTTTGTTTTTAATAATTAACAGCAGCAAATATTGATTTATGCAGGCACTTCCAGGCCTGAGCGCTTCCGGGCACCCAGCAAAAAGCAACCAGAGAAACATCCATTCCCACACTGGGAGGAGGCAAGACCTGCTCGTATCACCGGAGATGCCTGTGTGCCAGGTGGAGTGGAGGGGGTGGGGGAAGGGTGCAGCAGCTGTGTGTGTGTGTGTGTGTGTGTGTGTGTGTGTGTGTGTCTGGACAGGATGTGACTGTGTGTGCCTGGACATCCTGGGTATGTGCATTTGTACATATGTATCTGTACATGCTTGCATGTGTCCATGTGCAAGTTTCAGCACACCTGTGCAGACACATGATTGTGTCCACGTGCATACATGCAGGTAGGCTGTGTGCATACGTCTGTGCAGATTTCGGAATCCCCGAGTGAAGAAACCCCTGTAAGGGGGCAGGTAGGAAGGTCCTGGGAATCTCAAGTGTGGCTTCGCAATGAAGAGAGTCCCTCCTGGGTGTTCTGTCCTACCCTGGGAACATAATGCTGGTAACAAACAGTTCAGCTTCCTGATTTCTACTTTCCAAAGTTACTTTCAGGGTTATCACTCAATTGCAAGCTGGCAAGGTGGGTAGAGAAGGAAGTGTCACCTCTATCTTACAGATAAGGAAACGGAGGCCCAGAGAGGGGCAGGGATTTGCCCACTGGCACGGGGAAACCTCCTGCCCCTCAAACTGGCTCCATCAACATTATAAATGTGTGCAGAGTTAGGGGTGCTGGGCGAGGGGGGTGGACACTGGGTCACTGGCCTGGTTCCCTCAGCTCCACTACTGGTTTGCTGGGGATCCAGACGAATCACTCAATCTCTCTGGACCCCGGTTTCCTCCTGTTGAAGGAAGATGACCCACAGACTGTGATCCACTTGATTCTGGGGTAGGGTGGATTGTCAGGAGCCTCCCATCTGGGCTGTGTTGGCACAAATTGAGGTTTCTAGACAGACTGGGTGGAGGCCAGGAAACCCAAGGGAGGCATCTCAGGACTTATCCAAGAAGGCCAGCCTCGGGCTGTCTGAGCGGGCAGGACTCAGGGGATGGGCTGTTCCAACCCTCATTTTCCTGATGGAAGACTGAGGCCCAGGAAGAGAAGGGATAGTCCAAGGGCACACAGCGTCAGTGAGAACACAGGCCTCCTCCCAGATGCTCACTCACGAACCCAGCTGCCACCGGGTCACTCCCTTCCTGCCGAGCCCCAGGATCCACATGGCCCGTCTTGAGCTGTTGCCCGGGCACAGAAAGTAGGACAGGGTCCCCCTGATACTGTCCAGAGGACCCCCACGTGGGACCCCGTTGGTGGTGGTGGTCCCCCACAAGGACACCATTCCTTGGCCATCTGCTCTCCCAGCCCAGGAGAGGAACA